ATTACGTTCTGCATGTTATTTTGGCAGGAGGCAGGAGCATTGAAGTATATATACTGTGGATTGCAACAGTTGGAAATTTTTATTAGCTATATGACATGTTTGCTAGGTGCAAACTGCAATTTTTTCAATCAAACAAAAATTTATGACATTAGAGCAATAAGATTTCATACCTCCTGAAATTATATGATATTATAATTAGAGCCATGATATTTCAGAAAAAAATAGGACTTTTCCAGCCCTATGCCCAATATGGTAATAGGCTAGGCTATCTGGATAGCAGCTATCATATATCATTATATCAATAACAGAGAAACGAGTAAAAATTACAGAGAATGTCATTTATTCTACATCTAGGGTAAATGCGGTATATTCCGACACTTTAAGGACGCATCGAGAAACGAAAAACTATAAAAAAAAACCGTACGCGTTACGTAAGTTCTGTTGCCTTCACATGACTCTCAAAACACTTCACTACGCGTCAGCAACGATGAAACGTCACAAAATGTTGCCATATTTATTAAAAAGCCTTTAGAATGGAAACCTACCAAATCCCTATATTCCGTCACTTTGTGTGGCAACATCCGAAACGTGGTGAGTCGTATTGCGTCAGCGCTTCAAATTTAAAAGTCTCAAACCATAATATTCTTCCTATAAAAACAGTTATTCACTATTTGGTAGAGCAAGGTCAACTGTCAAATTTGACACATTTTTTGATGATCTCACCAGGTAGCATGCATTGTCTCTCTTTGGATCTCAATATTTTCCCACTAGATGGCCAAGACCTAGTGTTTTTGCAGTATTTCGACGCGCAAATGTATGACGTCACCATTTCAACCATCAACAAACGCATGGAACTAAAATAAAGCTTAATATAAAGTAAAAACTAGAGAGGTGACGGAATTACCTACGATGTCGGAATATACCGCGTTTACCCTAAATGGCAGCAATTAACTTCATATACAATGAAGCTGAAAACACAAGCTATAAGCTCTCAGGCCCAACGGTCATCCATCTGGCAGACCTGCGGCTTTAAGTCCACTCCAAGTGGACACCCTGCAAAGAAAGAAGAAGATGTTGCTCCGGGATTCCGATTGTACAGACGGTGGTAAGCGGAGTAGCAAACGTGTGCGTACATTCTTTGAGGAAAGTGGACAGGAGATTTTATACTGGCCTGAGAATTTTCCAGACATCAATCCCATTGAAAACTCATGGGCTATAATCAAACAAAGACTCCTGAAGCTGAAAGAAGACTGTTCAACAATGGCAAAGGCGCAAAGCTAATAGGCCTATGTGCTGTAATTAGGACCTGCCAACCTGGTAGGCTGGTACGTGGTATCATCATATCATGATTAGCAAGGAACTAAAATGTTTTCAACGTTAGTCAAATACATGCTAAATTGTGTTCAAATGCTTGGAAAAGCAAAAGTAGGTCATATCTCCTATTAATTATATCATTTTGTACCATTGGCATGTTTTTTTTTTAATAAAACTGCAATGTGGCAAATAATTGTGTTATTTCAACCACTGTCTGAACTAATTTGCACAATACTGTATGTGCCCGGCTGGCAATTTCCGCCTATCTTAAATGTGAAAGAACTCCTTGTCCTTGACACCTAACCCTTTTGCAATCTGTTGTGAATGCATAAATCAATTACAGAGATGGTTTAGTACTGTTGAATAGGTCAGAATGAGAATGTCACTATTAGTATTATGTCAGCTTTAAGATGAGCATAAATAATGTGCGTTTAAAAGTTACTTTTTAAAGACAACACTTCTGAACAATCCAGTGTCTTAGATGTTACACATGTAAAATGAATTTCTAATTTTATGTTCAAATATTGAAAAAAAATTATTTTTTTAAAAAAATTTTAAGATATCAAAATTTTGTAAACTTTCAAAATTATTTATTCTGTCAATTGATTGATGCATTGTCTCTGACTTTATGCAATTGTGCAAAATTTCAGATCAATTGGACAGGTCAAATTTTGTCACATATGGATTATAAGATTTGTAGCAGACAAAATTATTTTTTAATTTTTTTATTAATGAAAAAAATTTTTTTAATTTATAAAATTATTTATTCTGTCAATTGATTCATGCATTGTCTCCAACTTTACGCAAGTGTGCCAAATTTCAGATCGATTGGACAGGTAGAAGTGTGTTAAATATCGATTATAAGATTTGTAGCAGACAGACAGACAGACAAACAAACAAGAAGTGAAGTTAAAGAGAAGTGTTGTATAAAATGTATAAAAAAAATTTTTAAAGACCACGTTTTTCATGTGGACTCAAAAGTAGAAAATAATTTCACGGCAGCTACTAATCTCTGTTTGCTTTCATTCTCTTGGTCTTTTGTATTTCGGTTAAACTATTTTACAACATCTAAAACAAAAAACGTGGGGCGCATCTTTATTTAGGCATGCCTTAATTTCAATTTTGAATTCAACCACTATTTCGAATTTTTCTATCACTATTCGTTACTCCATATACCTTTGATTTGATAGTGAGCTATTTAATGGTGAACTATTTAGATACTTAATGCATTTTCTTTTCAAATGTCTTAATATGCCTCTTAAATTGAAAGGATATAGTCCACGCGTTCATTTAAAATTTTCAAAATTTTGTTGCCGTGAGGCTTCTGATCCCTTGTCACTCAACCCTCATGCCTTTTATTGCATAGTAATTTTTGTCACCTATTTATTTTTACATGCATTCACCTTTGTCTTTCTGTTCCATTTGTTTCAGCTGCACTAAGTGGTAACAATATGCTAAAGTAAATTCCATTAATGTTCAGCAACTCCTTGCCTGCCCATGCTCCGTAACCCATATTTTAACTGATTTCTTCTGAATTCCTTTTTACTTCACATACCCTGCTTACCTCTTGCTCAGGGTATTTTGTTTCACACTGTCTTTACACTGGTTCTTGCAAGTGGTGGGCACTCATGCCCTTGCTTTATTCTTTATCGTTAGCCTGACATATTTTACCTCAGGGTCTTCTGCCCTTGTTTTTGTAATAAAAGATTTGTAATGTAAAATCCTGTTTTAAATAATTACTTTAATTAGAGTTACTCTTTCATTCTCCAAGTCATACTGGGTTGTTGCCAAAGAAACTCCAATAGTAGGTAACGAGTTTGCCTCACCCGTGGCGGGAGACAGTACCCCGGCAACAATTTGATTATTTTAAAATTTTCACATACCCTGACCTGCATTATTCATGATTCATATCTTTACTTGCTTGAATTACTTATACACATTTCAAACTACCTATATTGGATGAAACATGATAAATCAATATACCAACAGTAAATAACAAAATTTGCTCAAATCAGATATATCAGCAATACACTTATCAAATGTTAAATGAACCATCATATTCATTCAGTAATCACCAAATAATTAAATACATATGCGCCCCACGTTTTTTGTTTTAGATGTTGTAAAATATTTTAACTGAAATACAAAAGACCAAGAGAATGAAAGCAAACAGAGATCAGTAGCTGCCATAAAATTATTTTCTACTTTTGAGTCCACATGAAAAACGTGGTCTTTAACAAATTTTTTTATACATTTTATTTTCAACTTTTTAGTTTTTTTAAGTATTATATTTTCTCCTTTTTAGTCCGTTGCTACACATGAAAAACGTTGTTGCAAGCCAATTTACTTGACTTGACGTATGTATCGATGATACGCAGCGTATCATCGATATACGCAGTCTAAACACGAATATCCTCTCGAGGATGACGTGCATTTAAAGGTTCCCAAACCCCTGCTTGTGAGTTCCTTTAGAGTTTATAACTACTGCAAAAAGGTCAACCATCCTACATAATATTCATTTTATTTCAGTTGGCCACGCAAATGCACGAAAGAAAATTCTTTTCGAAGTTCTGTAGAAAATTGTATTCGAGGGGATACATTGTTGTTCCCGTATTTATCTGGGTTCGTTGCTGTAATAAAGAAATGTTCGGTAATAAATACGCCTGGAAACGTGCAACAAATTATTGATTATTGTATTGTTATCGAGAGCTGAGCTTCCCTAAAAGTTTCAGATTGCTAGATAGCGGGAAAGTTGGTGAAATATTGATTGCAAGATTTGATCATCACAGATAGAGGGACACGAAAGCGAGCTAAGAAAAATGTGGTAAAAAACAGGGAAAGTTGAAATTTGCAATTTTTGACCCAGATGCTCCCCTTCAATTGGTTACACTTGCTTGCATTGTTAGAGCTTCAGATATATATATGTATCTGATATATTGGTGTAGTTAGGCAGAAGCTTTTCTCTTATGCAAGTTTGATTGAAGACCAGAGCATGCTTTTTATTAACAATCTTCTTGTTAATGTTCAAATTCAAAACAGATTTTATAATGAGAGCTGATGGCTGCCTGCTGTTGTATCGTGCATCGGGTTAAGCCTCAAAATTTAAGTCGAGAAGGTAATATCATCGGAAATTCTGATTAATTTTTTCGGTATGAAAATCAGAATTACTGTGAATAGAAGGCATAAAATATACATCATTTTAAAAAATATATTTTAGATATCCTGGTTGGAAAGTTTGATATATTTAATAAATTATACCTGTGTTATACATAAATAAATATATTAGACATAAATTCGTCCGGACGCTGAAATTATTTTCAGAGTAATTTTAAGTTTATATATTTTGTTGTATCCACATTATTTATTTTATAGTATCCACTATACCATTCATATGTACTTCAGTCATTTCAAATTCAATTTCAAATGTTGTAAAACCATCTCCAGCTTGATAATGAAAATTGTATTTTCGAAACGTTGCAAACTATTAAAATGTCATTTGGAAACCTGCTTTTCGATCTCCCGACGCCAGCAAGAAATTTGGTTCGACTCATTGAAAAAACGAACAAGAAGATTGTTAATAAAAAGCATGCTCTGGTCTTCAATCAAACTTGTATCTGATATAATAGACCCATTGCTGTTTTATTTGAATTTTTACTTTATAATTTGCCTAATAATTGATTTTTTGTGGCTTACTTATTAACAGAACATTTCTGTGTAGTGTGTAGTACTAATAAATTTATGCTGCTTGTCAGAAAAGTTCCTAAAAAGCTCAAATGAGTTCCAGAATGAAATTTGATCCCATGGGAAAAAGAAGAAAGAGCACAAATCAAGGAAAGAAAGCACATGCTCTTGGTGATCATAAACAAGTAAGTATATATAGTCTATAGATGTTGTTTTGATTGTTAATAACTTTATGGTTGTGGTCACATTCAAGATATAAAGCATTAAACTTTTGTATTATGAGATTTGATATTTTGTCCAAGTCCACTTAAATACATGTATGTAATTGTTTACTGATCTTCCCCAGATCTTTCAACAGTCAGTACATATGGCACAAGCCACTGCAACATGAAGCCAATTTGAAATAATTTTGCCAAATATCTTCTTTTTTTTTGAGCTTCATACTTTTCAAATGGTACTTTCAGTTCCAGGAATTCTACAAGCACTGAAAGGAAAATTAAATTATTACAAGTGGCCAAAATATTAACCCTTTCCTGGGCAGATATAGAAATATGATAAAATTGCAATATTTGATGATAGTACTTGAAAGGAAGTATGACCAATTCTAAGATATATTTACTCATAAGCATTTAAAAAAAAGTCATATATTAGAAGTAAATCACAATTTATGAAGCAATCATATATGGAGCCTTGCCAGCATGAGATAGAAAAATGTGCTGATTTTGACATTGAGAGTTTGACTGTCAAACAGGGTAATAAGGGATGGTTTTGAGCATTTTTTGTTAAAAACTTCTTACCATGAAACATTTCATAAACAAGTTTAGGCTCATTTTATTGCTCTTTGCTAGGGCTATTGAATGGCATCTTAAAAAAATTCCATATGCTATTCATAAGGTGCCAGACGCAAAATGAAACCGTCCCAAATTAACCCTGGGAACGAGGTGATCCGGGTCACAGGACACTTGAAATAAAACTCAATTTTAAAATGTTTGAAGCATGCAGAGTGTACTCATCCATTACTAACAGTACTCTGAAGTCCTCCTCTTTCATTGTGGATGATGTACCAGTAGATATAGAATAAATGACATTTTCTGTGTTTTTTTTCTCGTTTATCCTTTATTGATATGATATCATCATATTCATTCATTACCGTAAGGTATTATTGATGTGATATTACCGTATCCATGAACATGCCATTGAGCATTTACAACAACCTTGTCCACTGCAAGCTTCATATCAGCAGCTGTATAGCATTTCTTCTGTATCTGTAAGCTTACAGGTCGGCTTGTAATTTCACACCATTTTAATTGGGTTAAGTGAATTCACTATAAAAAAGATCATAAAAAGCATACCTGAAACAGAAAGGGATGTTTTAGAAACAACCATCATATGTTTTGAAAAAATAAATCATAGTTTAGGTTAATTACTTTTCATCCTATGATGCTATAAGTGAAATTTTTTGCTGAGCAAGGGAAATGTAATTAAAATTCTTTGTTGTTAATCAATTTTTTTGTTAATTGGAGCCTTTGCTGACTGAGGTTAAACTGTAAATGCATTTTTAGGGGTGTCCCTCATTACCCCAGGGGGGTGTCCCTTATTACCCCATCATGTGGAAATGGCTGTAATTTTTTTTATGAGATGGGCAAATTCCGTCAATCGCGTTTTCAAGCTGACACCTGTGTGCTACTTATATGTCTGTAAAATTTTAAAAGGGAACATTTTAAAAATAAGGGAACATTTCAAAAATACTGTATAAAAATCTCTCACTGACTTGATTATCTTGAATTTATTGCATTTCTGTCATAACAATGGATTTAGGGCACTGCTTAGGTTCATTATATTAGGTTTGTTTTCATACTGGTAAAGGCAGGTAAACTTATTTGCCATTAAAGGTTGAGTGCACCCCAGTGCCTTGGTTTTGCATCTCTCTTATTTTTTCTGCACTTTACATATTTTGTTCTTCTTTGTTGTGTTGTTTGTGCATAAATAATTAGATGAATACCGGTACAAACAAGAGGCTGAATAAAAAGGTGGATTGTGATGGTTGTAGGAGAGGCAAGGACCATCACAAAATTCTTATTTTCCTGAACCCTTTGCAACAAACAATCTCAGACACACTATGTGGCTGATAACATCTTGTAATTAGCATTTCTGTAATGTTATGAAATGCATTTAGTTTTTCACCCTGTCATGGAATGAGAGATTGTGGTCCTATTGTGATCTAAATATTGACATTATTAATTATGCTAGGTAGTGGATTGCATTTTATTTGACAATTAATATTCTGTCTATTTTGTTTTTAATATTGAAATTAATCATGCATCATTATTGCCTGCCTAAATAATACCTAATCTTTTTTCCAGCTAGATCAGAGTTTGGATGAAGATCCTGAGGCCATCCTGGGCTTGGAGCAGCCAGTGGCTGAGCTTCCAGGAGTTCCACATGAAGCATTGAATGATCTTCCTGGTCCTTCCTTCATAGTGAGCTGCTTTAGATTATTGTTGCTGGCACTTACAATCAATGTTGCTGGTGCTGATATGTGAGCAGTTGCATTAGTTGGTCATGTGGTGTGGTAACTCCCTAGCTCCATCATTTTACCAACATTCAGTAAAAATAAATATGGCCTCATTTTAGGTGGAAATTTGTTTTACTAATATTTCTTTTTATGAAACAATTTAAACAAGCCTCAAATCTTTCCATAAACTATAAATGACCTTGTCATTGGTTTACACCATAATTTTTTTAAGTCTTTTCTGGAATTATCAGTTGTAAACTCAATTTTTCATATTTCTTGACAAGTTATACAGCCAGATTGATAGTTAGAGCATGGGTATTTCCTTTTTTCACAAGGTTTCATGGCACACCTATTGTCCTATTGATTTTAAGCCATTATTCTATGATGGATACATTGAGGTTTTGCCTGTTTTTTTCTTCTTCTGCTCTGTTTTTTATTTGCAAAATTAGGTTTTAATTCTTTTTATTTTTTTTTATAATTTCAACTCTACTAAGAAAAGGATGTTTGTCTGTAAACTGAAATTTTGGAGCAAAACTCTGAAATGTTTTCTGTGAATATATGGTGAATTTTTGTGAAATTTTCTTTGCTTCTAACTTTCTAGTGCATTTGCAATACTTTAATGAAATCTGTGTTTCAATCCTATTTCCTTGTTATACATTCTTGGAAAGTTAAGCATCTGTTTTCAATCCCACAGTCCCTAGCAAGCGGTACAGCCAACTTAGTTTGTCGGATGAACAAAGAAGACCCGGATAAAACCAATGATGAAGATCTTGGTAAAACTGATGATGAAGACCTTGGTAGAACTGATGATGAGGATATAGATGATGGAGAGGAAGCAGAAGATGAGGAGGCCGAAGACGAGTGTGGGGATGATGAGGCTCGTCTTCCCTCCAACCTCCCCAACAGGGAGGAACTCATGAAGCGACTCATGAATGACTCCATTTCTTTCTCTGAAGTAGGTTTATTCACTGCGTTAACGAAATAATTAACAACTGAGCCGATTCTTTTGATCACCTGGAAACAGAGTCAAATTTGAGTTAGTGTAGTACTAGGTACTAGAGTGAACATACCTATGCAGTAGCTAGTATGTGCAGTTGCCTCTCTTTAATAATTTATTTATACGTTGTATGGCTTGTGCTAGACTTGATTGGACTCCAATGGATCATGCGTCCATGACAGAAAGTGGCGCCTAAATTTCAAAGCCGTCATTTGACTATAATTTGCAACACAATAGTGCTGTTTGTTTTTATGTCTAACTAGCTAATGTCTACACGTTTGTTTAATTATTGTTTAGTTATTAATAGCATTGCGTCGTGACCCGGACTGGGACTGCGCTGTGTATATTAAATCATATTTATTGGTTTAACAAAAAATTACTATTTTAGCTGACAGCAATGATGGGAGGAGAAGAAACCGAAGCAGATGAGACAGCATCAGTTAGCACTGCGACCAGAACGTCTGTCTCTGAGCGAGACGGCAAAAGTGCGGCGGTCACCAAGCCTGTGTCGTCCGCGGAGCATTTCGAGCAGGAGCTGGACATGCAGAGGTGTGGTTGTGGCTTCTGTGCCATCGGATATGTCCAATGATGTGTGAGGTGCAGGAGCTGGACATACAGAGGTATGATTATGGACATCCGAGTGGCGCCGGATGTATGAGGTGGCACAGTTTGACCAAAATGAGAATTGCTGAATGCATTGAGGACTGAGGAGTTACAGCATTCTACAGTATTTTGTGCAGACGTCGTATTCTTACATTGATAAGCTATCTATGAAATCCATTTGAAATTTATTTTAATCGCGGATTAGATTAGCAAAGTAAGAGAACAATATTCTGTATTATTAATACTGTTGAAACAAGTAGCATTACTCTTCACCCCGAATAATAAAGATACTAATCATAGTCATAACCTAGGCAGCAGCGCCGGCGTCGCGGCAGAGCGCGGGGCGTGCGAGGCCGGGGCACCCGCCTGCACCCAACCTTAGCCGCCCTCATGGGGCAGGCTAACTTGTGCGTGGGGCACAGCGACACCAATGAGGCCATTAAAATGTGTCTTGAGATCATCAGGCAGTTTCCAAACTCTCATTTGCCTTACGAGGTATGCAACGAGTTTGTTTACATACACATAATAGTCTTTGGGTTAGCTGTTGAAGTGTGCTCTTCATCTAATATTGCCCTGTAAACGATGTGTTCAACTACTGTATATGACATACTGAGGCAATTAAGTGTGTCTCGAGATTTTCAGGTTACACGACCTTTTTATTAGAACACTTCTCTTTAACTTCACTTCTTGTTGTTTGTTGTTTGTTTGCCACAAATCTTACAATCAATATTTAACACACTTCTACCTGTCCAATCGATCTGAAATTTTGTACACTTGCGTAAAGTCGGAAACAATGCATGAATCAATTGACACAATAAATAATTTCGAACATTTAAATTTTTTTCGTATAATAAAAGAATTTAAAAATTAATTTTCTTAATATATGGAAATAAAATTAGAAATTCATTGTAGATGTGTAACATAGCTCGTAGGAGACACTGTATTATTTAGAAGTGTTGTCTTTAAAAAGTAATTTTTAAACACATATTTTTTACTTTTAATTGGTTTAAAATACATAAAATTGTAACCTGTACCTCAACAGTTAACTCTGTAACATTTGAAAATCGTATAGGCAGGTTAAAACTTCAAACCGTATAGACGCCATTTTTCACAGTGTCTTCTCGGAAATGTGTATTGTGGGTATTTCCAACTGGTTTGTTCTGATCGTATTACCGTAAACGTCTCGATATCAGTGAACGAAATATCTGGTGTGTATGTAAAAACATTAATTATTTTAATTTTTATTTCGTGATGTAGTTTTTCTTCTACGTCTGCAACAGGCCATGAATGCGACTAATTTATTTCTTTGCGACGCAGACATTAGCGATGATATACGAGGACCAGCGGCTGCAGAACAAGTCGCTGCAGTTCCAGCTGATGGCAGCGTTCCTGTCGCCTCTGCCGGACAAGTGGGTCGAGCTCGCTGAGTACTACAAAGATCAGGTGCGTCTCAATTTATTCCTATCAGTAGTGTTTGTCTGTTTTAGCGTCTGTATTAATAATTTTCTTTTTTACATCTATTATTTGTGTCTAATTTGACATCTTTACTATTTGTGTGTATTTTTGACATTAAGACTATTTATGTGTATTTTGACTTATGCATTAATTCATAATTGAAATAATATTATTCACGTTTCTCATTAAAAGGCAACTATACCAGTATATTGGATACTAAGTACGAATTGCCTCATATAATCTATATCGGTATGTTGTACACTACGCACTACGTATGCTACAAGAGCCGGGGAAACGAGTGGTAGTATACTGGAAGGAGACTCTGACTTGTAGTATACTACGTATAGTACGTAGTATACTACGTATACTACAATAGCCTATGTACGTGACAGGACGAGCTGGAGCAGGCCGTGTACTGCTACAGCCGGGCCATCAAGCAGTCCCCGGCGACGCTGTCTTACCACTGGTCCCGCGTAGAGCTGCTCGAGAGGCTTGGTAATCAGGCCCGCGCCCTCCGCAGCTATACTTACATGCTCAAGTTCCTCAAGCCTGACCAGGCCAAGGTAGGAGCTACACTTGCATCCTAAAATTATATATTAGTACTGCTCAATAAATTTTTCCTTAAATATTCATTTTTCTACAGCAACAGAAGACGCCATTATTTAAATTTATGTAAAAAATCAACATTAGCTCACATAGAAATACGGTATTCTCCTAAGTTGAGCACTTTTCTGATCAGGACATCAGAATTAATCAAGTTAGAATCGAACGACTATTTAAACTTAGTTATCTCGAACGTAATCTTCAATTGTATCTTGAATATGCATTAGGATCCTTGTGATTGATCTATTTGTGACTCATTGATTAAAAGAGAATTGGCATGCAGGGTGGCCTGAGGCTGGCGAGGGAGATCGCCAAGATTCACTTCAGCCAGCAGAACTACAGCGGCGCGCGGCACGCCCTGGAGACGGCGTTCGTGCTTTACTCAAAGCACGTAACGCACGAGCACGTCAACCTGCTGCTCGACGTGCTGGTCACACAGAAGGACTACAAGGGTGGCTTGGCTGTCCTCTGCACCTATGCTGGCGTTAAGTTCTCTAAACTGGTGCGCAACGTGTGATTGTTCAAATTTGCTGAACTGGTGCGCTATGCATGATTGGTGAAATTTGCTGAACTGTTGCATAAGTCTGCCTCGTATGCTGTCTAATTGGCTGAATCATTTGATTATTGGTAGTGAAAGTCTACGAAGGTTGTTATATTATAATTTTTATTAGCTGAGCTTGGATGTGATATGACTACATAAGCGTCTGATGTTAGCATGTTATTAGTTTTGTGAGCTACATAGTAATTTATCCAATGAGAAAAGCGTCAATAAAATGGATAAAAGTGGAATGTACTTCATTCTCTGATTCTTTAGTTGAATCTTGACACGACATTCCAATAATCATACAACGGAGCTATAGCATCAAAATGATAACTCCACACCTCTTATTAATGTTGTTCTCTTTTTTTATAACAACGATGTCTAGCGTAGGTATCAAGCTTTTTAGGGCAAATTCCCAGTTCTTGCAGGTTTAAGATGAACAGCACGAATGATTTTTAGCTACCAACCTCACCTGCCCTTGGTGTGCAGGGCAGTGACGGCGAGGCGCAGGAGGTGCCGCCCTCGGACGACAAGCCCGAGGGCTGCGTGTGCTCAGTGGGTGATGACCTGCCCATGGACCTCCGCTCTAAACTCGCCGTCTGTCTCGTCATGACGGGCGCCTTCGAGGTCGCGCAGCCCGTCGTCGAGGCCTTGATGAAGTCAGTGCAGTACTTCATGCTTAGTAATTTATTAGGACGAGGCCTTGATGAAGTCAGTGCAGTGTTTAATGCTCAGTAACATATTAGGACGAGGCCTTGAACCCCTTGATGAAGTCTGTGCAGTGCCAAAAATTAATTAAAACAACTCGATTGCCCCCAATCGGATATTAACTGATAGAGATTACGAAGTATTAGCTTCAACCTGGAGTGCTTCGGAGTAAAGGATTTTTTAACCTGTTGTAGAATTTTTCGTAACATGTAATTTAAATAACGCCTTCAGATCTTATCCAATGTAAATATTTAATAGATTGGTTTTTCTTAAATTTTTATTTTAGGTTTTATGATCAATTTATGTTTTGAAATCCACTCTGATTCGGTTGCACGAATTAATGATTGACAACTATTTTCACTCTTAACTTCTCGCGTAGGGAGTCCACGGAGGTGTACGGCGACCTGTACATGGACGTGGCAGAAGCTTTCCTCAGCATGAAGCACGGCCGCTCGGCGCTGTCGCTGCTGCAGCCGCTGCTGCGCTGCCCCCACCACGGCAGCGCGGCTAACACCTGGCGCCTCTACGCCGAGGCGTTGCTCATGGCTGACAAAGTCAGCAACTCCGAAGACGCCGTCAACGCATACTATAAGGCAAGGCACTTACTCTGAGATTTTTCACGTGAAGTCATATGGAGTTCTTTTACTACCAATTTCCTAATGATGAAGCTTACTAGTCAACGATCCTTGTGCAGATCAGCACAAGCATCATCTTTAGTTGGTGGTACCACAGCTTGGTCCAGTCAGATGTTGCAATATCCACTCTAAAACTTCCTTGATCATATGATCAAAAACTATTATCTAATTTGTGGTTCTCTGATATACATGATTTACATGACACAAAACGCGTGCATACACACACCATTTTGTCGGTAGACTTTGCATACTGATACAAATGAACACGAAGCTCTAAAGAAGTTTCTCTTCATGACCATATATGTATTTAATAAATCCACACAGTCAAGCAAGTAGCATTTTTAGCGCATTTTTTCATTTATGGGAAAAAATGCACTATTGTGCTTACCATGTCCGTCTGTCTGTCCGTCCGTCCGTGACTTTACGTTTTCGTCGACGAGAAAATGCGCTCTGTCACTCACTGCAGTGAGTACTGAGTTATATTTTTTAAAGCTGCACCTGATCCTAGGTCGTCGAGTTTGCACCCGAGAACGCAATGGCTCGCCTCACTCTCGCCGCCATCCTGCACGAGCAGCGCCAGACGCAGGCCGCCCTGCTGCTGCTCGACCAGGACCCTTCAGAGCGTCCACTCGATTGCCAGGTGACTGGCAGGTGTCTCATTCGACTATAAGGTGTCTCAGTCGACTATAAGGTGACTCTGTCGACTGTCAGGTGACTCAGTCGAATGTCGGGTCACACAGTCGACTGTCGGGTCACACAGTCGACTGTCAGGTCACACAGTCGACTGTCAGGTGACTCAGTCGAATGTCGGGTCACACAGTCGACTGTCGGGTCGCACAGGCGACTGACGGGTCACACAGTCGACTGTCGGGTCACACAGTCGACTGTCGGGTCACACAGTCGACTGTCAGGTCACACAGTCGACTGTCAGGTGACTCAGTCGAATGTCGGGTCACACAGTCGACTGTCGGGTCGCACAGGCGACTGACGGGTCACACAGTCGACTGTCGGGTCACACAGTCAACTGTCGGGTCACACAGTCGACTGTCGGGTCACAGTCGACTGTCGGGTCACACAGTCGAATGTCGGGTCACACAGTCGACTGTCAGGTGACTCAGGCGACTGTCAGGTCACACAGTCGACTATGAGATTTCTCAGTTGAGTGTCATAGCGTCCTCTCGACGATCAAGTGGCACGACAGCAGAAAGTCAAGCGCGACTATCAATACTATCCATACCCGAAGAAATCCCCACGCCAAATGCCGAATCCCTATGTCAACATTGGTAGCGAAAAACTACTTGCCTGCCACCACTAGCCGCTATTTTATGCTGTTATCAACACACTTCTGCCGCAGGTGCTGTACAGCAGATGTGGGCTGCTGCTTGAGTGCGGACTTGTGGACGAGTTCGTAGAAAATGCCAAGTTGCTTTTGGCCAAACATTTTGTGCGCGTGAGGTGAGTACAAGTATCTATTGTTGGCGACTTGATCATGATCTGAAGATGATCATAATTGAAGTTAGATGCGGTAGAATATCTAAGTGATGTGCTTACATCTACCATCTTGTTTCACCTAACATATTATTGCTATGTATGATGAGGTAGCTATGATGAGAGGTTGAAGTGATGTGCTCACATGGATCGTCTTGTATCAATTGTACTGCTATCGATGTATCTTGAGAAGGTAGAAAAATGAGCCAACATCTAGTATGATTTTTACTGCTACCACTTTTTTTGCTGGTATTTGGATGATATTGATTTCGAAGTAGTCTAGCTTGAGTGCACATCGTTCTATTAAATTCATTCAAAGTGGTCGAGAAGTCAAGTGACACTGAGATGGGAGCAGCGAGTGGTGAGTTTCAGCCTCTGATAGCTGTGAACATTTAGTGGTGTCGTTAGCATGCGGAGCTTACAGTGGAGCTTCGGATGTGTCGTCCTAAACGAAACCCAAGCAATGTAACCTGGTTTACGTTTCGTGTCTGCAGGTCGCGCGATGAGGCCGAGGTTTTAATAAACAATAAGAAAGCTTCCAACAAGCTGGATGCGCTCAGAGAACTACGTGAGTCTAAGGGCGAGCCAGCCGAGGACCGGGAGCCGCGATACACTGACACGCAGGTGCCGCTCAAGGATCAGTGGCAGCTCTTCTGCAACGCGTGTCGTATTCTCTACCGCAGTAAAAGGTGCGTGACTGCCGTTAAATTGTATTTTGCGTACGGTGTATTATGTATTAAATTACAAGACTCCTGATTGAGATTCTTCATTTAAATTATTGTTGCATTTTTTTACATTCTACATTAAAATCAAAAATGCACCTGGTTATCATTGAATTAAATGAGCTCGTACTCAGGCTTTCGAAACTGCTGTAAAATGTTTAACAGCACATGATGAATAGGAGTTTATTTGTAATCATAGAAAATAATTTAATTCAGAAGTACTTAAAATTATTCATCAATAGCTTAAAATATCACTAAATGCATCATGTATCCAACAGATTCTCCGACTTAGAGGCTTTGGTTTATGGGGCCTTGGGATCGCGGCTTCTAGCTAAGAAATACGGCCGAGAGGTAGAATTCCTCTGCCTGCAGGCATCAATGGCCAACAGTAATTCACACTTTGCATTCAATTTGATGAGAGATATCGTCGTTCGGTCACCGCAACTACCGAGAGCCTGGAACCTTCTCAACCAAGTGATCAGTCGGGCGAACGACTTCAGGCACAACAGGTTCCTATTGCGGCTGTCGCAGAAGCATCCCGAGATTCTGGCTTGTTCTATGCTCAATGGCCACAACTGTTTGGTGGCAGGGACGTACAAATACTCGCTTGCAGAATACATGAAGGTATTCAAGCGACGTCAACATGATCCTCTAGCCTCGTTAATGTTAGGTCTCACCTACATTCACATGGCATGTCAGAAGTTCAGCGCCGACAAGAATACACTCGTCACACAAGCCTGGGTTTTCCTCAACAGCTATCGAGAGCTTAGAGGCGACTGTCAGGAGTCTCTGTACAACATTGGACGAGCAATGCACCAACTCAATGTCCTGCACCAAGCCATTTATTATTATGAACTAGCTTTAAGTTGTCCAAGGCCCGTACAAGAAGAGGGGCAGCCATGCATGGACTTAACTCACGAGATCGCCTTCAGCCTAGCCCTGCTCTACAAGAAAAACAGTCCTAGTTTAGCGCGCTACTACACACAGAAATATATCACCGTATGAGGCATCTTGTGATCGTTTGAAGTTCTTGTCAATTCAGCGTGTCCGTGACAATGACAAGACACCACACAATCAAACAACGAATGTCACGCTGGTAAGTCACCCTACAAAACTGGCTGCAGGTTTCGGGCGCCATGGACTCGTGTACAGATTTTCATGCCCGAGATAATATTTTGTATAAGTATCGTTTGTATAGCCTTCAATTCATAGAGTTCCTGCATCAGATCGAAGTTCACATTAAAATGTTTCATGCCTTTGAACTTAGTTTTGTCGGGAGGTGATTACCCACTACCTAGCCTATATATAGTTGCGGGTCTGCCATCGAGAATATATTTTTTAGGTGAAGGTTTTTCATCACTAGATTATGATGCTAACCCATTACTACATGTTAACTTTCAACAAAGTTAAAATTGAGGTAGCGTTACATGTAACATAGCAAGGAGTCTCAAATGAAAGACCGACCTATGTACAAAGATTTAATTAATTGTCACTTTGATCACAGACGTTTGATGCACATGCAAGAAATTGTAGACATGGGTAACGACACTCATGGCCGTAATTCAGAGAATGTGTTACTCCTCGAGACAGCCAACAGTTTTCTGAACAGGATTAGACATGTTTCTCTAAAAAAGTAGCAGGAAGAAGGGAAGCGATGAAACTGACATGAACATAGCCGCTCTAAAATAACCGCAACTTGACAAAAAAGATGGGAAATTGTATTGTCCTTATCAACAAGACGTAACTACCAGCGGGCCACAAGTTAGGTGACCCATAAATGAATGTGCAGGTTTACAGAAAATCTATAATGGAATGTTGTAAGGGAATGAAATGTGTATTAGTACAAAATTCATTCCTCGCCAACCTGTGGGGCTTTAAATATTAAATGTAATGAGAGTCATGAACAAATAACGAGCTCAGCAGATGCCGTTCCATCGCTCGCGTCTGAGATCCAGGCAAGCGATGGGAGGACACCTACTGGTAGCTTAAAATCGTTCAAATATGAACTTATCGTTAAAAAGTTCTTACGAATATCCTTAAAAATTAGCATAACTAAGAAATTTTCCTTATCATTTACCATGAGAGTGATCCATACAAAATATTCAACAATCAAAACAAACGACATCGTCTTCTCGGCCAGTGTACATGGTTTTGCACTTAATACAGATGAAAGCATACGAGAAGTCATACCTAAATAGAATAGAAATAGAGAGGCCGTAAAATATATGAAATTGAATAGAGTAACTGCCTACAACATTGAACCTCTAGCACACCGAATAATGACCGAGAACTAAGACGCTTACCGGTGGCGTGGTCAACAGCAAGATAACGACCGACAGAAGAGCGCATGCACCAGGTATCAACGGCTAATTATGAAATATGTTGCTTCTAAAATAATTAATCGCAAGTTTGAGAATATTGTTTGAACACAAATCAAAATTTGAAATTATTTTTGGTTTACAAATACTTTATGAATAGCTTTTTGCACGACAGTAAATTTTCAGCAAATAATGGTGGAATTATTAAAAGTCAAAGTAAAGGCTACGTAATGTAATCAACGTACGAGAACGCTTTCAACCAAGACCTTCCTGAAAACAGTCCGAGTGGACGTATCTGTTTGGTGTTGATTGAAATTAGATTTTGGAAACCCACATAAAATGTTGACAATTTTCCTCCTGTTAATTGAATGAAGCAGACATAGTACCTTGATTCAGCATCGTTGAAGTCTAATTAAAACTTCACTCCGTGTGGAGGTAAGTAAACAGCACTAAAAAGGACACCTAACCTTACAAATAAGTCAAAGCAAGACGAGGGCAGCCCGGCGAACGGTATTCAACATAACGATTATCGCGTCTCGGCAGACGTGCTGGACTCTATCTCTCCGTAGGACACGGGATGACACCGACGCCAACGCCACCCTCGTGAGCACACATCGAGGAAATGAAGTCCCACTTGTCTGTCTCAGGATTGTAGACCTCCACCGTGGACAGATTGTTGCAGCCATCGTAGCCGCCGATGGCGTACAAGAGGCCCATGTTAGCGACCAGCGCCACGCGTGAGCGGGACACGTTCATTGGCGCTACGAACGACCACCTGACAATAAATATTTCTTTACATAGGTGCTTGCAATTTCATTGACTATACAAGTAAATAGCAGCTATTAACTGAAATAAAGTTTCTGGAATCGATGCATCGTAGTATCGTTAGTAATCATTAAATTAGTATCGTTAATAAATCGATGCTTGATTAATTAACTCATAAAGTAAAAGGCTAATGCAAGAATGCCTAATACGAAAACTCTCCAACAATATACCGAAATTCTCGGTAAAGTAAAATTGGAAAACTATATAAGAAAATTTATTAATTTTAGACGCCAAAATCACCGCCATCGCACATAAAAACTTTGCACGGTGGCGCTGTTAAACTGACTTGCTAGTGATGGGGTCGAAGACTTCAACGGTTCTGAGGAAGGAAGATCCGTCGTAACCTCCACAGACGTAAAGCTTGCCGTTGAGTGTGGCCGCACCCAGGCGACACCGCTTGCTCAGCATGGGCGCCACTGCCGACCAGCAAGCCGTCGTCGGGTTGTAGCGCTCAACCTGAACCAGTCATTAGGGCAGTGTGAGTTGAGTTTATAAACTTTTTCGTTTCGTCAAATTGTCACAATCCTTTCATTGAATTCGTATGGATCCTTATTAGTATTCTTCATCAAAATGACGAATCACCTGCCAATTAGATCAGATCTTGCAGTTTGTCTGGATATCCTAGGCATGGCTATATGAAGACAGTAAAATTGCGATAAGCTTTTGCAGTCTTTATGTGTACGAGTTACTAACGAATACGAGATGAATGCTACGACAATAAATCCCTCTTGTTCAATTGCTAATGGAATACCAACAATGCAATAGAAGTAAGGCTTAGAGGAAACTAGAACAAACACTAACAGAATCAAAAATACTGAGGCCATCATGACCGCCCATCGCATAGACGTGGCCATCAAAAGCAACGACGCCAGCAGCGCTGCGATGGTTAGACATGGACGTCAACATGCGCCACGCGTCGTCCTCTGCCCTGTAGCACTCTACGGTGTTGAGGGACGCACAGCCGTCATATCCCCCGCACACATACAGCAGACCCTGGAGTACGGCTGCACCCACAGCACTGCACAGCATGTCATCAGTACCGTAATTATTCAGTCACTGGTGACTAACAAGAAAGTTTTTGTAAACCTTTCTTATCGAGTCTTATAAGTAGACCAGTGAGTAACATGGATACAAACATACATAAGATATTAAATGGAATCTCAAAGATCTGATAGTAAGAAATATACTGGTTCCTAAAAAATATATCGATGGCTACTATGGTGTTCACATTACATTACTAGCATAGTCACATTAGAAATTTTTAACTGGAATTCTAAAAGTAACAGTATTCTAATATTCTGGAATTCTATTGGCAACAGTATTCGTAAAAGTAACTTAACAATCGTGGTCATATCGTAACTGAAAAAAGTAACACTAGTTAAAATAGAAAGCATGAATCACTGGCTGGATCATACTTAGAATGTGGGACAAATGATCGTTTGTCATGGGTTAGGGGCAAATCAGGACATATGTAGCCCCATAAAGTTCGAGCTTCAACACAATTAGTCATGTGACTAAGAGCTATGAGAGTCCAACAAGGGAAGATATTCGGTAACGGTGCAAAGACTCCCAAGACATTATAACATCTTGCAACAAAATTATGCAGTAAATAAAATTTCGCTGTAGATGGCAGCATGAAATAGAGAACATAATGAGTAAAATAAATATCTTCTCATAATTTTGGGAAAAGCAAATTTTATGAAATGAAATTGAGTACAAAAACAAGATTGATTGATTACAAGCGTAGAAGTTCACCTCCTCTTGCAGTTCATGGGCGCAACCTTGCTCCAACTCTTCTGTCTCACATCAAACACCTCGACGGTCGCCAGTCGATCATGTCCATCATAGCCGCCGATGGCGTAAAGCTTCTTGTCCATCACGACAACTCCTACGCGCGATCGCAGCATCGACATGCTCTCTGCCATCTCCCAGCGTCGCAACACCGGATCAAAAACTTCCACTGTACTCAACGAGTCCCCTGCAAAAATTTTTCAACGTCAATCGCGTCCTAGCACTCACAATTACATTATTTTGTTATAAAAATCAACATCTTTGTCGGAACGTGACAATAAAGCAATAGTTAAAGTCAAGAGGAAAGGATCTTTCTTCCATTCAAATTAGAGCAGATTACAGGTCTTGAATAAAAAAAAAACAGGACTCACCAGACTTAGTGATGCCACCAACGGCATAGATGAGTCCAACAATGTCGTTACAGCAGCGAGGTCGGGTGCGGAAATTTTGTAGCAATGGTCGTCTTTCCGGCATCAGGTGATAATCTTTGGCTTCATCGAGAAGATCTCTGAATAGTGAAAAGTATTGGCATTGATAATGACGAGAAGAATTCAAAACGTTAGTATGATCGTTGCGTCATGTCCACATACGTTTTAACAAAAGCTACTAAAATTTAATATAAAATTTTGAAAGTTGGCAATGAAAGCATAAAAACATGAAGTTCAAGGCTGAACACTTCTTGTACCAACAACAAACTTGTGCGTTTGCGTTTCTTCCAACGCAATTGTATGCTATAATCACGATCGATTCCAAATTTCTACATCAAATAAATTACCGCATATGACGATCACACACAGCACACACCACCAGCCACGAGCAGAGACAAGTTGTTACCTGCACTCGTGCGACGACCTAATGAGGTTCTCAGTGGCAACTCGATCAGAGAGATACTCCGGAGTGAGGAGAGGCATGCGGATCTTCTTGAGAATTTCAGGGAGATGAATAATGCGACGCTCGTCACGCTTCACCCAAGACATCGCAGTCTCGAAAACCTGTAAAAAAATTCTCATGGCTAGAGAAAATCTGGTCATCTGCTCAATATAATTAATTCAATTTTAAATTCATCTGAAAATGAGTACCAATATTTGACAATGGTTCACCTTTCTGTTTCATTACAAACTTGACGGCAGTATATGAGTTGGATGAAAGCCTCGACAGTTCATGGGAAATGTTAATGAAATTAACATGATTACTTTACCCAAAAAATTAATTCCTTTACAATCGTGAATAAACCATTAAACCTATCATTAACTTACGCTTGATTCAGAAGGGACATTCAATTCATCTCTAGAAATTATTTCCAAGACGCTTTCAAAAGTCTGCTGGTGAAAATCCTCAGATGCAGCAACTTGCAGAAAGTGTTTCTGCAAATAACGATTGCAGGATTCAACAAGCATCGGGCAAGAGAAGGTTTCTGCAAAACTCCGTATGCTGAGAACATTTCGCGGATGCAACCTGTTTGAAAATAATCATGAATACTGAATATATTAAATTGCATTTGCACAAATTTGGCATTCAAATGTGAAGTTTTAAAATATGGTAGAGCAACGAAAATATGCGTCAAATGCATGTTCAAGAAATGATCAGCAATCATTTGAGAAACAAATTTTCAATATATATAAGATATATATATAGTACCTGTTTATGAGGAAATTTGCACAAGCCTCTTTAACTTGTAGGAGCTGAAGGAACGAGGAGCCCACCAGAAGCGACTGGACATTGTCACCATCAATTTTGATCTTGCCAGAATAGGCAAAGTTAATGAGAGATTCCAATGCCCTGCAATGAAAATTTTTAGTTAATCTTTCTGGCAATGAGCATACATAAACATATGAATTGTAAATAATGATGCATTGTAATATCTTAAAACGAAACAATTGGCATTTTATTAAGAATGACATCAAAGCTCAAAGGCTGTCAGTGTGAGACCAAATACATTACTCCATTATGACAATCAGAAGCATCCAATAGAAGCAACTAAAATAAAATAAAAAAATGATACCTGAATTAAAAATATTAGAACATTTGAGAAATTCAAAGGACATGAATATGGTGAATCTTCCATGTTAAGAGTAACCTAGTCCATGAAATATTTTCCACGTTAGATTCTTTAAATTGAAAATGACACTTGTATAACACATCAGAGAAGTAAGGAAAATAGTGGAGAAGTGAAATATTACCCAGGTTCAATGCCTTGCATTGTAATTTCTCTCTGCTTGCTCTCAACCATGCCATTGGTAAACATTGCATTGAAATATGGCATCACAGCAGCCAGCACAATGCGGTGAGCTGAGAAGCTCTGTTCCTCCACCTGGAACAAATATTTCTTTTGAGTAATCAAATCAGATCTGTTGACAACTTTACATGAATGGAAACCTGAAATTGAGTAATAAATAAATCACAAAAAAAAAAAAACAGATAAGATTAGACCTAGGCAGTTAAGCATGTTATAGTAAGCAGATTTATATAGGTCCTTGTATAATAAGTATAGCACAAATGCAGGAAAAAAGCTTTTTTAGAGGAACGAGTGGAAAAAGTGTGTTGATGTCTATTATTGAAATAACTTGGAATGCCCTAGAATGCTTATAAATCTCCAAGACACAGGGATAAATAAACAAAGTAATCTTGTATAGACCGGATTAGGCCTTGAAAATCACTTTGCTTCCTATTAAACCTAAGCTACCCTGTTTTGTGGGCTGTGAAAGTATTTTTTATAGGTGAAACACTCGTTTTCTAAGAGATTGTGGTTCACTTAATGATAACAGCCAGGATTGAATATATAATAAAAATGTTCTAAACATCAAATAAGGTAATTGATAAAAAGATAAATTATACATAGATTTATAAAATTTTACAAGAATTCAAACCTTGAGGGTGACATCACAGAGTTTTCCTTTCCTTCTAATTTCCTCAAAGTTCTGGAAGGCAAGGAGGGAAAGGTCCATTTGATTGAATATAGTGTAGTCTTCTGTGTCTACACTATCAAGTGTATCCAAGCCACACTTGATATCAGCTAATGGCATAAAATCATTGTCTGCCATTTTTAATAAGGGATTATAATACAATAATCTCTGGAAGATAATTTCAAATCAGATGAGGCAGAATTTATCAGTGTTACAAAAAAAGGTTACAAAAAGCAAATTGCCAGTGCAGTTTGCAGGCAAGCTGTCAGTGTGGGCCTGTCACGTTAACGTGTCTTGACCACAAGAAGGGGTCATGGCACAGCAATATAGATGCAAGTTTTTATACATTAAGCTTTTACGAGCCAGAAGCACGTAGTTGAACTGGTTTGTTTACAAATATTCACTTACATTTTGCATCAAATGTAAATAGGTACCATTTTTCTTTGTTCTAATGAAAATGAGCAGGTGAATGATTGAAACAAGATTCAAAAATATTTGAAGTGCTAAATTTTAAAACAGAATATGCAGATAGAATTATTGTTTGAAGGTCCCTATAAGGTGTGATTCTAGATAACTTTAGTGCATTTCCCTAAAAGCAATGAAATAGCTTAAAAATTACTAAATTTTAATACTCAGGGTGAGAAATTCTAAGACACTTTCTTTCAAGACTTTAATGTCAAACAACAAGTACACAATGCCAAAAATTATTATGTATATACAAGGTTTGTACCAGTATTTAAAAAAAAATTCACAACTTTTCCTTGACCATCAATATAATATTTCAAGACTCATAGATGAAAGGCTTAGCACGACTGAAAGACTAATCATGCATATTCTATCATCTCCTACGGTTGATAAATTGCAAACGTGTAAATGCATAGAGTAGGCAGACACAGAGGAACAGAAATGACACAAATCTGAAAATCAAGCCCACACCCCACACTTGTATTATTATGAATTCAATAGTGTCAAATCACAACAAATTTTGAGTAATGCACACTAGATTGTACATGATAATGTAAATACAGTTCAGAACACTCTTCAACACCACTACCCAACATTCAACTGGCAGCCATTTCATTAACTTTTTCTTTAATGTTCAGTTCAAGAGTGTCTAGCTCCTGTTGCTTTGTTTCCAAAGATATTTCATGGCGTTAACTTGGCAATAATTTTCAAATCCCTCTTTCTCTCCATTGCTTCTGCATATTCCTCTGCTGCTTGCTCAAGTGCCTTGATGCCCTCCTCTGTATGCCTTTTCATCTTCAGTTCATCTAGCTTGTTCAACAGAGCCTTCATCTTCTGGGTCTTCTTTCATTACAAAGCTTTACATCTCTTGTTACAAAGCTGGTCAGTTCACCATTGGGGTTGGCTTTGGCAGTGGATACAGGCCTGCTCTCTGTCTCTACATTCACAGTGGCAGTAGACACTACAGTGCTGATTCTGGAGCAAGAAACTGCAGTAGCATTGCTGTCAGTGGACCACAAATTGGAAATGCGTGACTGCACTATGCTTTTCTCTTCACTGTGTTGCTTAGCTAACTTGGTGTGTTAGCTGCCTTTGGCATGGCTCTTTAAAGCTGCTTCCTCCATATTTGACACATCAAAGTCTTTCAAGCACAATGTACATATCGCCACACCTTCATGCTCTGAATGGCAAGCAAGCCAGTCACAATAAGCTTTTATTCTTAACCACAAGTCATGAAATTTACACTTTCCAGGCATGGTGATGTAGAAATTGCATGCTGAAGATGGAATGCTGCTACTGCACATCAAAAAGTTGTCAAATGCAACTGAACTTGGTGACTGAGCTCACGTGATTGGAGAACCAATCAGAATGCAGGAAACAAGAGACTGCACAAACAGTAAACACACACAGCACAGAAAAACCACTTCCTTTTTTACTTCTATTTGCAAATTCTGTGACTCTATAACCTGAAATTAAATCCAATGACTTTCCAGGCATGGAAAATGAAAATTTTAATTCCATGAATTTCCAGGTTTTTCATAACTGGTACAAACCCTGTATATACACATCCCTTTGAAGAAATTATGAACAATGCACAAGTAAAGAAAGCCAACATTTTCCAGTCCAAAATAAAAACAATCTTGTAAAAAAAAACTTGAAAGAACCATCTGGTGAGAGTTCAGGAGCTAACATTATAGTAGGCAGGCACTGACACGTTCAGTTCCACTTCCAAACTACTACTAGTAACTATATTGCAGTTACTTTGGCCAAAATATTTACTACTAGTGTGTTAAATTCAATACATAATTCCCAAGACAAGCAATCTTAGCAGCAATATCAAATCAGAGATATTGCTCAAAGAGATATTCTTCTTTAATGATCAAAATATTTGCAAAAAGGACACCAATTTTAGAGACTGTGGCACAGTCTCTTGCAGGGCTGGAAAAGTACTTTTTTTCTTAAATATCATGGCTCTAATATCATAATTTCAGTAGGTGTGAAATCTCACGGCTTGATTGTCAAATTTTTGTTTGATTGAAAAATTGCAGTATGCACTTTGCAAACATGCCATTTCATAAAATTTTCAACTTCCACAATCCGCAGTATATATACTTCAATGCTCCTGCCTCCTGCCAAATTAACATGCAGAACGTAATAACAAGTCAATCCAAAATGTTTCCTAAAGATTGCGTAGTTGCAGTCACGTCAGAATGGTCAGACTACATTATAACTTGTTCAGTTGCCGCTTAAGGGCGGCGTCTACCCTCCAGAAAAACTTCCACATTTATTAAAGGATCTTTCTGACACTTCACACATATGTAAAACCAAAATACAAGCAGATTTTGTTTGTATAATTTTTTTGGAAAAATTAATAGAAAACGTGAAATTCATAGAAAACGGACAATAAGGGGGTACTTTAAAAATCTATCTCCTCCTACAGTTTTCAAGCTACAGCATTGAAAGATATACCATTTGATTTGTAAAGACCATACCAATCGAGTAACGAAGCCCAATTTTTTATTTTTGCCTTAGTTTTTTTTAACACATTTTCGCATTTTCTTCTCATTTCTGTCCCCCCTCTTCCCCCCATTTTCAATCCAAACTATGCACAAATCTAAAAAAAAGGTTTGTTACTCAATAGGTATGATCTTTACGATTCAAACATTATATCTCTCATTGATGTAGCTTCAAAACTTTAGGAGGAAATAGGTTTGCAGTGACAGTAAGTTAACTTTACAGTAGAGCCCAACAAAGTCTTGCGTGCATTGGAATAGGCACTCAATGTAGCAAGGATACAAAACTAAACGTTACTGGAGCTTGATTCCAGTCAAGGATGGCGGGAACGACTGCATGCACACCACCCCATGCAACACCAGGCGGGTAACTGAAGTGCAGCTAAAGGAGACACTATTTAAGGTGCTCGGCAGCTACTTTCCCCATATCTTGCAGGATCTGTCATGAATGCATAAATCAACATACAGAGATGATTTTGGTACAGTTGGATAGGTCAGAATGTCAGCTTTAAGATGAGTATAAAACCAAAAAACGACAAATTATGAATTTTAAGGTAGATGACCCCCTTAAGTGAAGACAAATGTTAGTGACTGTTTAAAACACTTCTCCTTAACTTCACGACTCTCATTTGTTTGTTTGTCGGTCTGCTACAAATCTTGTAGTAATCAAAATTTAATGCACATCTCCTTATCATATCGATCTGAAATTTTGCACACTTGCATAAAGTTGGAGACAATGCATGAATCAAATGACAAAATAAATGATTTTAAAAATTGAAAAAAAAAATTTTTTCAATATTAAAAAATTTGAAAAAATAATTTTGTCAGCTATACAAATCTTATAATTGATATTTGATAAACTTTTACCCATCCAATTGATAAGAAATTTTGCACACTTGTTTGAAGTTGGAGGCAATGCATGAATCAATTGACAGAATAAATAATTTTTAAAAAAATTTTATATATTAAAAAAATTGAAAAATAATTTTTTTAATATTCGTAAATAAAATTAGAAATTCATTGTACATCTGTAACATTGGAAACACTGGATTCTTTAGAAGTGTTGTCTTTAAAAAGTAATTTTTAAACATATATTATTTTAGGATAAAATTAGAGATGTGGGGTAACATGTGCATCATTGCATGGGACTTTGTAAATAATACGTTTGCGGCTTGTAAATGGTTTTTCATGGCCAAGATATGGAACTCACGGCTCAAAGAAATGGAATCACGGCTGACAAACCCATAAAACCTCGGCTTTCCAAGTAGGTATATTCCATGCCTGGTCTCTTATTTCATGTGTGCCAATCATTACCATCAACCAGGGCTACTCGGGACGAATCCGAACCTTTTTTATTCATAACTTCTTACCATGAAACATTTCATAAACAAGTTTAGGCTCATTATCACATGGTTTCTCCAAAAAAAATCCATATGCTATTCGTAAGGTGCCAGAAGCAAAAAAAGAGTGTCCCGAGTAGCCCCATCAAATGGGGCTACTCGGGACACTTGGAATAAAACTTCATTTTAAAACATTTGAAGCATGCACAGTGTACTCATCCATTTAGTTTTGGGCGCCATACTATTGCCAAAACACTAGGTCTGGGCCATCTGGCAGGAAAATGTTGAGATCCAAAGAGAGACAGTGCGCGTCACTCAGTGAGAACATCAAAAATGTGTCCAAGTTGATAGTTGACCTTGCTCTACCAAGTAGTGATAAACTGTTTGTGTAGAAAGAATATTATGGTTTGATACTTTTAAATACGTCTGTGAATATATTAGGAATCCTTTAAGTATACTTGTATTCGCTGATTTCAAGTGTTAAAAAAATTAAACGATGATTAAGTTAAGAGACGGTTTTAGACACATGAAAACTAATTCCAATACAGCTTGGAATTAGACACACACAGCTTGTTCCAAGCGCAAGCAGTGTGCAAAAATTAAAATTTTCTTAGTTAAAAGCTTAATAGCTCTTAATTAAAAGCCTAATTAAATAGTGTTCAATATTCAATAGTGTTCTAATTGCAAGCTGTCGTATTCCAATACAGCTCACACAGCAATAGGAATTCAAACACAAGAGTGTCAGCATTACAAATTAGTAGAGTTTGAAGCGCGGCCGGAATTAGTCTCGTGAAATGCCAAATTTAGTCACACACAGTGTTGGAATATATATGGATTTGGTAGGTTTGCATTCCAAAGGCTTTTAAATAAATATG